ATCATGATATAGGCCGATTAGATTTAACGCCGTGAATACTATGTTGTATTAGTTGATTTGATCGAGGCGGGAAATTGTGATCCGCGGTAGCAACCGTAGGTTATAAAACGTTTTACACACAAGATCCACCGCGCAGGAGAATTGCGTTGTTTGACAAGCAATTTTTAATCGCATCGATTAAGAATTAAAAAAAAATTAGTGTAAGCTTCTTTCTATACAGTTAGAGTATCAACAGTAAAACAACGAAGAATTCTCGAGACAGTACGTGCTTCTGAGGCAAATTCTGCGTCTTCAAAGCGTCCTATGAGAGAGAGACCAAAGAATCATACTGCAAGATCAGTAGCAAGTTCTTTTTTTTTGTAATCATCGGTTAGATAACAACGCATACCGGGCAGTATGTAGGTCAAAGTCCTTAAAGTACTTTCAATTGAACTAATTTGTGCTGCATTATTTACAATAAATGAGTCATATTTTTTCAAAAGCTCCATAGGTCATGACACTTGGCTTCTCGTTAGTAATGCGACCGAGAGAAAGCCCCCATGGCAGGAATTTCGCTGTTTATAAGATACGTCATTTTAAATTTAATATGTAGTTTGATTGGTTATGATTATCGAATGGGCCACAAACAATGACAAATGACAACGTGATTAATGACCAAATCACAGATAGCGCATAATAGCTGGTTTTCTACAAGCATAGCGAACTTGTATCGGATGCGTGTTAACGAGAATTTTGAAAACTTGCGTTTAAAATGCTTAGGATTAAATTGATACCAAGATGGGACTGTGATGACTCTGTCGCATTTCCTCAATCACGTTTTATTGCATTGCGCGGATCAATAAGCACTGCAGTTCACCGAACGAAACGTAACCATATTGGGATCGATGCTAAAACAATGGCGTTTGCAGAAGATTTTGTGATGGCTGCGTTCGAAGCAACTCGAGTATTACAAAAGTGTTTTTATAAAGGAATTGTAAATTTGGACTAGTTGTCCGACACATTCGAAACACCCCAAATTGGGAAATATTTAATGGTCAGATTTAAAGAATTGCGTTTCGATAACCAACATTCCCGTTTCGATAACCAACATTCCCGTTTCGTCTATTTGCAAGGTTGACGTATAAGTTCTAACATGATTGAAAAAAAATAAAAAGCTTAATCCAAATTTAGAACAAAGCATACTCTCTCAATTAGAGAACGATGAGGATGAATACAATGAGGATAGATCATAACCAACTTATCTAATAATACTAACAATCTGTGCCGTGACTAACGCTTATAGTTACTTGCTGAAATTCTACATCCGTCTTATGTACAAATTTGTGTTATTTGAGCTGCCAAGTTGAAAATTTCTAATGGGATGGACAGTAGCAAAGAATAACGATATCCAAGCGCTTAATAGATAAACAGTTTGCAATATATAAGTAACCAATGGATACAGGATAAATCAGCGTAACACACTGTCGCTTAAACAGAGGTTAATGGATCGGATATCTCGTTCCATCTACTCAAAATTCTTATCACATTCTATAGAATATGGTCATTGAAATAAGCAACGCGAACGCAGTACGAGAACGCTCGCCGAGGGGAGGAGCTAATAAAGACAGTTTGGATGGATTGGCCCTGCTTATGTAGGAGGCTTGGCAACCACATGGTGTAGGTCAAAGTTAGTATCCTTGTATAATTAATGAAGCCAGATCTTAAAAGATTTTAAAAAGGAATGAAGAGAATGTCATGAACAATTTTATTAATTAACATTAATTCTTCAAACTATGGTCTACCAATTTTGCACCACATTCTTAACGACTCTTTGCAGAAGCTTTAGCTTGTACACCACGAGCTTGTTGTTTAGAAATCTTTTGTTGTCCACGAGCGGAAGCTTGAGTAACCTATTCAAAGAAACCCAGATTATAACGGTTAATAATATTCAAAACAGGTTTCAGACTTCAACGCCGATTCGCCATACACTGTTGCCATTCGTATTGCGCCTTGACAGCTCCCCGATAGCGTATTGTTGCTCAAATAAACTTTCTCTCTTCGCCCCTCTCCAAATCGAACAAAAATTCTCCTACCTTGGCCTTCTCAGCCTTTTTCTTGGCAGCCTCGGCTCTTTTCTTTTCTTTCGCCGCCTTCAATGCCTCCAATCTGGCAGCTTCTCTAACCTCGGGCTTCTGATTCCTCTTATCCCGAATAGCTTCCAGTGTCGCACCAACCACGTCACGTTGTCGTTTGACAGTACGGCGAGAGCGTTTCTTTGCCACCTCTTCAGTTATACCCTTCTTGTGCATGCGTCGGTAGACTTGGGTCCATGCGATCTTACGCGGATTAAGACGTTGGAGAAATAGAGATTCTGTTTTTGAACCAACTAAACGGAAGACCTGTTTTAAACATATGATAATTGAGATGAGAGAAAATTATAGAGCTTATGTATGAAGAAACTTTAAGAGTATTTTCAGTGATTTTTCATGTGGGGATGATTTACGCAATTAGCAATACAGACAGTCTCATCGTATAGATAGAAGAAAACGTACCTTGTTATCCGACCGGACATATAGTTTACCTTTGCCCGGATAGATCTTGTAACCAGAAAAATAATCTACTTCGATCCTTACATAGTGACATAAAATAAAAGAGTGAGGATATATAACTGTCTTTTACGATTCTGATTCAGGTAGCTACGCAGCCGCTGTTTATTATCCTCTCAAACTTTTATAGTAATCTTGTTTAACATACTTCATGTTGAAATTGTCTACCAAAGACGAAAGAGGAGGGTAAATTTTTTTTGAGGGCTGTGTTTATACGACGTCACTCAATAGTGTTTAATCATGTGACATGCGCAAACGGTTCGAGAACAGTAGTACACCTCCAGCAAATACAGAGTGTTGTAACCGATTATTCATCTATTTGTAATTTTGTTAATGTATTACATAGCATATAGACCCGTTAATCTAGATCACGACTTCTATTTGTAATCACTAAAATGGCAAGCTTTGGCGTACGCATCTTTGTGACCTTCCATTAAGGAATCTAATTCTTCCATTGCCTTCTATCATCTTTCACGAGTTCTGCAACAACTGAACTACAGTAATGAGTGTCGCTCACAGAAAGTCATGTTCTTAATACAGGTCTATTATCGCATAAGTAATAGTAAGGTCTTGTAAAGTCTGATGATCGCAAGTGGCAGTGTAGGAATACTCTAAGGATTCTTAGCAAATTTTATTTACCAGTTCTTCAGACCATAGTCGTTTGTAACATATAAACAAGTTGTCAATAGTGACTGCTGGTGTAGAGGCTATTTAGCAAACGTATTCTGCTCTCTCTCGTATTAGGGGCCTACACACACAATCTTGGCGTTTGATATCGCAGTATTGCATTAACGACACAACTTAGATTGACAAAGACAACGTTTATTTCATTAACGACAAATTTTAGATAGACACAATAAGAAGTCACAAAGACAACGTTTTATTTCATTTTCATACAATGACAATTTGAAGAACCTAATATGAACGGTTCTCTTGGATATATGATATAATGACAGAGTTACGATTTTGGTAACCTTCAACGATTATATATCGTCCTATAACAAAGTGACGGTTTTATGTTAGTAAGATATGACTAATGATGTGCGCAAGTTTCTTGGTGATTGTCAATGTACCTGTCTCTCTTTATTTTCCGCATTTACAAGTTCCATCTGCACACTTGCACCCCTCTCCGCAGGTGCAGGAACTAATTCGATGAAAAGTTATATTAGAGTTGGATTCGTAAATATGAGTCGGTTGGATTCATCGCAAATTTTTATGCTTACGCGTTGGTGCAGCCATAATCGACGATAGGTTCCATTGTTGAGTTGTTAAGTTTTGAGTTTGTTTGAGTTTTGAGTTTGAGTTTGAGTTTTGAGTTGTGTTATGATACTCTGAAAGATGAAGAGCAACCCATTTCGTCGCCCTTTAAATAAAAAATGATTATCTGTATATCGTTGCTGTTTTTGGTCTAATTAGCCAAGTTGCCTGATCATGAAAATTCGAGGCTATGGGTCACAAACTCTATTGGCGCAAGAAGGTAACCATAATTCGCTAAGCAGTGCATTGTTTTTAGGAAGAAAAATCGTTTAAAAAATGCCGCAAGCCCCTTTTAGTTTAGCAGTAAATACCCACTCCTTTAATTTGTTTAAGTTGTTCAAAAAATGCCGCATTACTATCCGGTAATATCGAGTCATATACATGTTGCTGCGTCACTTTCACGGCTTATTTTATCCTCTTTTCCGAGTAAGGAAGTGAATATAGTAATAAAATTGTCTAAAAATCTTGGTTTGACTCCCTATAGCCACGCTTGGGAACAATGCAGCTTTTGTTGAAGAAGAGGCTGTGACTATATAGAATGAGGGCGTTTCTACAAGTTCGATAGTAATTGGCCTCAAACATAGTGAGTAGAAAGACGTTTTTATACGACATGCTTATTGCGGGTGACTACAAACGGAGTTGACTGTATTTATCATAATTAACTTTAAATATCAAATGATGACAAATTGAAAACGATGTTCTGGCTCATTCTGGAATCTTACATAAAATGGATTGTGTTTGACATGTAATTATTGGTGCATGGGATTATTGTAATGGAAATCCCCAGAATGGGACGGTAATAGTGCGTAACACGACACGGAAAAGGTTTTTACACCGTTCATCACCCGTTGCTGAAAACTTTTCTCAATAATGCTAGCGCCTTCGTATTCGTGATAAAGCTGATGAATTTTACGTAAAACGTGAATACACTCAACGACTGCTAGTTCGATCTTACATCAAAACATTGGTAGTTGAGTGGATAATCTGCACATTAATTAACAATTTACAGTTACAAATAGTTAAGCTCATTTGACTAGGTAATTATAAATTTCACAAACGAGCGGAAGAAAGGCATTATCGTCTTATTCTAAAAGGTTTTTACATTCTCAAGAAGACAATTAGAGGCGAGGCGGTTAATCGGATTTCGTGATGCAATTATATTAAGATAATTTTTCCGCAAAAGCGTGGATCTGTATGAAAAGGTGAGACCCTGGTTAGTAAATTCTTTTATTTGCCTCATGTAAGTAAAAATAACAAAGGAAATTAACTAACTTGCTGTTCTTTTGCGTCGTCGTTAATATCAACTATATGCCTGTAGAAAAGACTGTATGAAGCTCGTAATTAGCGATAGATGTAAAAACACATAATAAGAAATTATTTGACACTGACCCTGGTAACTAAGAACCACGTGACTTTAAATAACTCTTTTTTCAAGTTCATTATCCTCACGCTCCGTTCACGAACATTTTAACGGTCAAAAATAGACTGTTATATAAAGCCTCTTAAATTAACGGAAATGTAGGATATTATTGCGTTAAGTTTTTTTTGAAAGTTAATAAACTGTCGTATAATCAGATATTCATTTATTTATTGACAATGCGAGTTTTATACGCATCAATTATCATTGGCTAACGTAATTTATTGGAAATAGATTTGATTTAACGCTCTTCGTTTGATGCTGCACTTTGAACATTGATTTGGACCAACATCCTTGATATGTTTATAGCCGTTACAGTCTTGTCACTCTTGAAAACAATATCCAGAAATTATTAATCGAACCTGTTTATTCCAACTTTGAGCGTTAATACTCTCATCTATAAGTACACATTATGCACAGTAACATTGTTTCGCTGAAGGAAATATCTACATTATAACTATAGCACTTATCATTATTATTCAAATAATTTATATCGCGATTCATACATTTCCAACGCACTGCTCTTCCGGTGTGCTTTAACCAATGCATTAGAAATATTTGGTGCATAAAGATTCTGTCTTGATGCTTTGTGTTATTTGGCAGTTCATTTACAGAGGATTTATGTGAGGGGGCAAAACGACAGTTTGTCATAGTATATTGTACCCAGAATCACGCGAATTTCAGAAACCTTTAAAAGGTATTGAAATAGGAGTATGTCACACCGAGTTAACGTAACAATGCCCCATTTCTATTTCTGAAACAGGGTCGATCTTAATATACGTATATAATATCCAAAGCAGGAATCTGACCGTTTTTCAATAAAACCCTTTTAACAGCAAAGTGGCGCTTTCGAATAAGTCATCACGTTGTCCAAGACAATCAAATTATTGAATGACAAATTTGAGGTAAAATTTACTATGTAATAGTGCCAACGTGAGAAATCCTGCAGCAATTTCATAATACGACTAAAGAACAAGTAAATAAACGAAAACCATATCATTGTTGAAAATAAGGCAAATTTTAATGCTAAATAATCCGTAACGAAATGGCATCTATCGTAAAGCATGTATCACAACAAATACTCTTATAAATAAGTCTGCCAAACGCACTAACATGAGCGAAGCAATAACCACAAAACGAATCGACTAACAATCCAACATCAATTCAACTCAAAATGTCCGCTGAAGCATCTGAGAAAGCTCAATCGTTCATGATGCATATTGTCAAAATACTTAATAATGGAGCGCTTACCCTAATGATATCTCTCGGCCATCGTGCTGGTCTCTTTGATACTCTCGCGACAATCTATCCAGAATATGTCTCGTCACAGGTCCTTGCCGACAAAGCTAAACTCAATGAACGCTATGTTAGGGAATGGCTGGGAGCCATGGTAATTGGGGATATTATTGAGTATAATAGTGAATCAAAGACTTATAGGCTTCCTCAAGATCATTCGCAGTTCCTTACAAGAGCGTCTGGGCCTCAAAACCTTGCCGTTTTTTCTCAGTATATCTCGATTCTTGGATCTGCCGAAAATAGTGTTCTTGAATGCTTTAAAAATGGCGGTGGATTGCAGGAAAACGAATATCCTCGAATTCACAAAGTTATGGCCGATGAAAGATACTTGGCCGTTGGTTCCATACTGCATACTGTCATTCTCCCTGGTCTTCCTGTGCTACACGACAAACTTAAGAAAGGATGCAAATTGCTAGATGTTGGCTGTGGACACGGTCAAGTAATTCTCGATCTTGCCAAAACCTTTCCGACTAGTACTTTCGTCGGCTATGACAAATCGACCGAAGTAGTAGCCATTGCCAATGCGGATGTCGCGTCTGCTGGTCTTACTAATGTTTCCTTTCACCTACAAGATATATCCAAACTGAAAGAAATTGGCGAATACGACGTCATCTTGGCTATGCATACTATCCACGATTTGGCCGACCCAGTGAACACGCTAAAGGGTATCCACCGTGCGTTGAAGGCAGACGGAGTATTTATAATGCAAGACGTCAGTCTTTCAAGCGATCTCGAGAAGAATAGGGCTCATCCTTTTGGTACTGCAATGTATACTGCTAGCACCATGGTGTGTGTGCCAAGTTCTTTGGTAGACGGTGGACCGGGTTTAGGCGCTTGCTGGGGAACAGAAACTGCTTTAAACATGTTAAAAGAAAATGGATTCAGTAAGATCGAAGACATCGTTGTGTTTCCAAATGATCCTCTGGGTGCCTGGTTTATTAGCTGGAAGTGATATTTGCCAGAGTAAAAGCGACGGTTCTACTGATACTCTACTGTATGTTCGTATAGTTGGATTATTATCTTAAGCGCACACGTTTATTAAAACTTTAGCTATGGTTAAATATAACTTTACGGTTACGTTGAAATAAAATACCCTACCATTAACTGACAAAAAAGTGTTTCATTCTTTACTTTTAATCAAGGTCAGTGATCTTATTCCTCTGAAATATACAATACTGTTTCATATTCAGCGTAAATTTTCATGCCATTTGCTGAGGATAAGAGTTAAAGGTTTATTATTTACAGCGAGCTGCCGCGCCGTTAATACAAAAAAGCTGCGTAATGTTTACCGCGTAAGATTTCGCCGTCCCTATTTACATACTATATATAAGTGTATGTACCAACAAGCTTTAATATTAACCATCCAAATAACTGCTCGATAATTCTTCCTTAATTTGAGGCCGGTTAACTAATCTGGTGACTCTGAGCAGGTTTATTTACATTAGTATCCTGTATCCATATTAAGGCAATTCCCGATTTTGAAAAAAGTTGAGATCGGCGAATAGAATTTTTACCCACATTCCGAACAGAGTTAAAATATTAATGTAACCTGCATAGAATTAATACACCGAGTTTTTGCTTTCAGCCCAAGATACGTTGTAGAGAGACGTACCCGTTTCATACCCTGAAAACGCAAAGGCCTTTTGAATGCTAGAATGAGAGTTATAATGCAATTGCAAAGAATGGGACACGATGTTCTTTAACAATATTTCAAGCATCACGTGGTTCATAATAATACAAGACCGTGTTTGATTGGCCTATAACAATACTTTAAAAACATTGGGCACAAGAGGACTAGCCGCTGCCTCTTGCTCTTTGCTCAGCTTGGACGAGGGGTTAGTGACAGGCTCGATCTCGTATAGCTACTGAAACATGTACATATTTACTACATTTTGTTGACATGCGCTAACTAGTTCACTTTTTGTCATATTTAGCAAAAATGGCAAACAGATACAACAACTCAGTTCAAGGACAATTGGGATCTAGTATGCAGCCATCCGCACAACCAAGACCACAAGCTATCTCAACTTTACAACAAGCTCAACAAACTCAACAACAACAGCAACAACAGCAACAACAACAACAGCAACTTCTTAGTCTCCAGTCGAGAGGTATGCTAAACCAATCGGGAACCATGGTTAATCAAAGACTTTCAATTAATCAACCGCGGCCAAACTCCATAGTTCAACCGAACTCTATTGTACGACAACAGCCAATGATTGGTGTATCTCGTCCGCAACTCCAAAGATCTGCTATTCAACAGACTCGACAACTATCGATGGTTCATCAACCGCAAATGCAATATTTTCAGCAGCAGCAGCAACAACAGCAACAGGAAAAATCGGAAGGAGCATTTACACAGTTTAAATTAAAATCTTCTTCTATAAAAGCAAAAAACAAGGTAAATCTTATGAATTTTATATCATCCAAGCGTGTTGATCCAAGCCTGTTCACTCCGCCCGTTAAGCTTGTGCGGCGAGATCCGAGTGCGCCTCCTCGCAATCAAGCAACTGCCTCACCTGTTGAAAATGCCACACTTAACACGCCAACTCCAGGTCCATCAGCAAAAGCACCTGGTACAGATACATCCCAAATAGCACCGTACGGTAATGCTACCAGAAATCGCCAAAATCTGTTCAAAAAAAAAACGAAACAAGTCCATATTGCGCCAGAAGAATCTAGGAAGCTCAGAGCAGAAGAAGAAAAACCATGGGTTCTCGAAGATTACGATGGAACAAACACTTATATTGGCGAACTCGAAGGCGGACAGCGAGCTAATTATGCCCTGTTCCTTCTCACAGATGATGGTTTCAAAGTGGTGTGCGTAGATAAATGGTATAAATTCAAATCAAAAATCAGACATCGTACACTTACTATAGAAGAAGCCGAAGAGGCTATTGCAAAAGCAGCCAAACGTGACAATGACCGTTGGATGATGCACAAATGGAGTAAATCAGCGGAGGATGAGCAGCTCGAAGCAAAAGAAGGAGGCATATTTGACCGCAAATCAACTTTAAAAACAGTCGAAACGTATGATGACGATTTATTTGGGGAGGAAGACGATGAAGAGGCACATGTTAGTAAGCGGAAAGTTCGAGGTGACGTTGATGAGGAATGGGACTTTGATGAAGTATTTGAAGATGACGAGGAAGCTCCCGCTGAAGTAAAAGACGAAGAGGAAAAAGAGGTCGAGAGGAGACAAAAGAAATCAATGAGGAAAGGTTCAGATGACGAAGATATGGAAGAAGAGGTACCAGAAACACTCACGTCTACTGGTAAACAGATGAAGAAACTCGTGCGCTCTCTAGAGGAAAACGAAGCGTATGTTAGTGATAAAGAGGAAGATCCCTATGCCAGTAGTGTAGAAGAAGAGGATACTGAAGACGAGGAAAAATCGTCTGGGGAACTAGGAAAGACAGCATCAGGTGCAGCAACACAAAAACCGCCACAAATAGCGCCGAAAAGCAAGACTGGCGGCACGAACAAAGCCGGCACTGCCCCCCAAAAAACCAGACCAACCGCTGGCACAAAGCTGCCCGCAGATTCGAAAAATAAAACCGCTGTCCTTTCCAAATCAAAACCATCGACCTCTTCTAAATCAACGACAGATGCTAAAGGTAAACCTGCGTCTGTCGCACAGAAGACAAAGGATGGTACGAAACTCTCTCAATCGCATAAATCAAAGTCATCCCAGCTTTCTCACCAGAAGGTATCAGCCGCGCCTCGATCTCAATCACCTGTATCTCCAATGCGCACCAATGTGTCTGTTAATGGGTCGCAAGCAGTGTCACCAACACATGCGAGTTCTGTTTCGTCGTCGCATAGTGTTAAATCGCCGACGGGTACATCTGATGTTGCTGGAGCAGCCCCAGGAAAAACAGCGAAACGCAAGCCTATACCGCCTGGTGCTTCAACATCACAGTCTGGTACCGAAACAAGTGGTATTCCACAGAAGCGTTCTTTGACAAAAACTTCCACACAGCCAACAAAGAAGCTTAAATCGGGATCGGATACTAACGTTGATGTTGGCAAGCCTGTCTCATCTTCCAAACCTAAAATTAACATTGTTATGGGACGGTCCACTTCTGAGATTTCCGCAGAATCGTCGAAAAGTGTGGATGCTCCCAGGAAATTAAAAATTACCACATCAGCGTCATCAGCGTCATCAGCCTCTTCGGCAGCTTCGCAAACCAGGCCATCGTCTCAACACAAACCACCATCTCAATCCAGGGCTTCAACACAAACCGGACAGACTCCTCGGCCCTCCCCAGTGCCCACAGCTAGTTCTTCTGTAGTATCTCAATCCAGGACGTCAACGCAAACCGGACCTTCTCGGCCCTCCCCAGTGCCCACAGCTAGTTCTTCTGTAATTACAGAGGCGGAGGTCGTGCGCATCATTTCCAGTAGTCCGCAGATGACTACACGGCAGTTGATCAAAGAATTGAAAGATAAAATAAAGAAAGATGATCAAAACCGAGCAATTCTGAGGGAATTAGTAGCGCGAGTAGGTGTTATTAGTGGGGATGGATATCTTGTCTTAAAGAATAGAGACTAATTTTAGAGATCAGTAGGGTGTTGTTCGAAAAGATAGCATTCAATAGATATTAAAGGGAACATTGACTAATTGTTTGAATAAAGACAAAAAGGCACGATGAGCTTTTTTGTTGCTTTCATTGATGTGTATTTTTTTTTTTGGCGATATTAATGATTTATCCCCCAATGTAAATAGAGAATTACTTTAATTGTTCTTTTTATTTTTTGTAAAAAAAGAAAAAAAGGAAATAAAAGATTTTGCATAACTATTCTTGGTAACGTGATATGGTCACATGCAAGCCACACAAAATTTTTTATTTCCACTAGTATGTAGCTACTTGTTCATTCTTTTTTCCACATCCATTGCTTGGCTGATTACCTTCTAACGAATTGACAGCAATGGCTCAACGCCTCACATATAGACGACGTTTATCCTACAACACTCGGTCGAATAAAGTGAAGGTCGTCAAAACGCCTGGTTAGTAACGATCTGTCGTCTCCGGAGGTCGTACAATTAAGAAAGTCGTTTATGCAAAGTGAATATTGTTGACAGGTGGCAAGTTGACGTATCTTTACAAGAAAAAGCAAGCAAAAGGCCCAAAATGCGGTGACTGTGGGAATCGACTTCCGGGGGTAAGTATTAGTTTCGAAATGCTATGGTTGATGAGGAAAAGCAAGATTTTTCGTTGTACCAGTCTATTAAATAATTGTTAATTCTAACCATCAGTGACCTCATATTTCAAATTTATAATAGATTCCAGCTCTTCGTCCTCGCGAATATGCTCGCATTAGTAAACGACAAAAGACAGTCACGCGAGCTTATGGTGGAAGTCGGTGTGCCAGATGCGTGAGGGATCGGTACGTCCGTTGATTACTATAAAGTTTCTGCGACTTTTTTTTATTCCGGATTTAGCACATTTTGTTGGGAAGATTTTTCCTTCGTCTTGTCGTACTCATTTGTTTGTTTGTTTTGGTTTTTTTTTTGCATCATAGCATCGTTCGTGCTTTCCTCATTGAAGAGCAAAAGATCGTTAAGAGGGTCATAAAGCAACAAAGCAAACCTGGAGGCAAGAAATAATGTATCAAGCAGACATTCATTAAAGCTAATGTTCGTGCGTGTTATTGGAGTATATATCGTGGTTCATGGTTATGTATTGATTACTGACTGGTCATACATATGATCTGATTCTGGATATTTGGCCATCGCTCAATCATGCATGTAACAATGATCCTCCTTTATTTAAAGCCTCTTTTGGAGGACTCATCTGTAGCTATACTCGCAACTTCTGTACGAGCAACGAGACCAATTGACCCAACACCGGCGTTTGGAATGTGCTTTTCCACGTGCTCGAAAAATTGGATGATTTCTCACGCAATGGTGTTTTGTGTAGACTGTTCCAGTTATCGAAAGAGGAGTGGGAGAAATGAAGTAATATGAGGCAATGAGGCGCACGCTAAGTGTCTGTTGATTTATAGGGACAAAGCTCAGCCACGTCGAACTGAATGTGACCCCTTTGACTAACTATGGCTAACCGACTCAAGAAAGGAATCGCAATATTGTAAGAACAATCCCTTCTATTAATGATTTTATCTTTCTCTTGACTCATGTCGATAATGAGATAATGGCATCGGATATATCTTGGAAGTATTTTATGCGTCTCGTTAATGAGCACGATTACACAAATTAGTTAGGTGGCCTTCAGTCCAATAATAGACCTAATTGACGCACCATGTTCATGTTGCGCAATGCCTACTCGGAACGATTCAATAAAATCTGTCACAAGTATTATTACAGTAACAGGCTTGAAGAGTCGACGTATGGACAGACTCTCATCACATCGACTGGTTTTCATTTGATAATGACAAAAAGAATGCCATAGAGAAAAATTGTAATATGCCGAGAGGATAATCTTGTATCAATTGACAGATTTAGATATCATTCGTGCCTATTTGGGTGAATGACGGATATTACTTTTTCGGATGGTGGCCGTGACAAAAGTAACCTACTATCATGCAACTAAAATGGTATTCCCATACTTAGTACATGTACTAAAAAGGAAAGTAACGCTAAACGCGACCCGAAAGTGGACGAGCACGTTTATGGAATCCAATACTTGATCAGCTGGATCAGAGGAAAACTAGACAAGATATGTTTGTTCTTCACAGTTCTAGCATAGTTGATACGTGTATAATCGTTTAATGCAATACAATACCCTAAGTTCGTTCCGAATATACGTTCAACGAAAAGATGCAGCAATGATTTCTTCACTGGTAATATTGATTGAATTTTTTCACCACTTTCTCGTAGTCTCATTCAGAGATTATTTATCAACAAAGAAATATCTTGTACTGGTGTTAATTCTTGTTCTTTCCGTCGTGTCCTCCTTGACGCTTTTTGCAACAAAGATATAATACTCGGAAATCCAAATCAGAAATCAACAAACCAATACCTCATTATATCATTATCATTATAATTGAGTCACTGCCCAACTCCTGTCTGCGAATGAAGCATTTGCTAAATTACATGAGATGTCAGTCCCACTCACATTTGTACACCTAAAAAGACACCTTGGATAACAACAAGAGCGATTTATTTTGAATGCACTTTCATGTAACCAAACCTAGAAATCAACAATTTACGGTTGATTCAGTATAAATTAATAAAGCATCAACACTCTCACACGATTTTTATTTTTATCGTTCGTCACGATTCCCTTACTTACCAGTGCCAACCATAGAAAGCAGACAGTCCGATGCTGCCAAACGTAATGAAACTTCTGTTGAGCGGTCTCTGTCCTTTGTATAACCATCCAACAAACAGACCAGCCAGAACAACATCAATTGCAACATTTAAAGCAATCATTTTTCCGGTCAACTCTTTCTTTTGTTTATCTTTTTTAGTGTCTCTTGTCCCTGTTGTATTCTTCCACCTGTCATGCTCTCCTCCTTCTTCGTTCTCGCCCTCTCGTAGAGACTTTAAAGTTTCCGGAGAGACGTCTCGTCTTTTCAAAGTGGCAGTATAGTTCTCTCCAGTCTTGTCTTCGGCATGTGAGTCTTGGTTTGTCGCGCTTGAGGAGGTTTGAGGGTTAACAGCGTTCTTTGCTTCGACTATGATATTAGCTTCGAGGTTTTCATACGAAGAGTCGAGCGAGGGCGGTGGGGGTTTTCGTGCTGCTTCGGCGTAGGAGAGCGACATTGGGAAGTAAAGGGAAATTCAAGATACGCGGGGGTGGGTCAAAATTTTAAATAAGCCACTGTACGCCACGTATGGATTGGCCCCCCTAATAATAACCATTAGCGTCATACCAGAGTCATAGAATGTAACAAAAATGTGTACTAACACTATTTTAATTCTCTGATATTTTATGACATGAGGGCGCTTATTCTCAGACACTTCCGATGAATCGTCGTCAAATAAACTTTCCAATCATCTCTAGTCATATTGATCACGTGTATTTAATATTAACCATGGTGTTATTATTATTATTATCGTCGTCGTTTAATTTGCGGAAGAGGAAAGCAATTGACTTTACAAACACCGTTTTTCTTCCTTATGTTTGATTAAAACACTGTGTAACGAGAAAAGATTACCCGAAATAGGATTAAGGCAATTGGCTGCGACCGTAATTTTGCCGAAAAATTATTATTTAATGGTTGCTCGAAATGCAAGGCCGTTACACCAGTGTATGCCGTCACTCATTATGATGAAATATGAGAGATGGGCAGTGTAGTCTACAATTGCTTGTGGTCGCTGTAGTTAATGAATACTTGGTTTTTCTTTGTCTACTTCGTTTGTTCAAAAAAAAAGCGTTATGCAAAACAATGAACAAGTAAATGAATCATCATGTCGAACTTCGTTTATTGTTTCACGTAAAGAGCTGTGGCCTATTTAACGGTAGCCTGAAATATGATTGGTATAATATATCGGCATTATAAATCGCTGACTCTTTCCGATAAAAGCTTTCGCAATTAAACATATTAATACCCAACCGCTGTAATCGGAAATTTCATGCTTTTAAGTAACGGTCGAATTTATATGAATATTAAATTATAGATCTTATGCGAACAGCCATCATTGATTGATTTGACTGCAGTATTTCAATGCACTACATTATTAATAGTCATGTGAATTCATATTATTGCATAACGCACCAACTCTCACCTGCATATAGGAGCCTGTACACATGAAATAATGAAATACAATATGTACACGTTTCTGATCAGTGGCTTATACTTACATTTTGAATAATTACACTAAGCGCAATAAATATATAAGAATGGAAGCCGACGATGACGTATTCCTCTCTATATACCGTTTTTTCCATACCATACGTCACTTATGTCGTTTTATCATTGTACAAAGGCTTGTTGAGAAGAGACAGACATCAAAGTTATCCATTGCTTCCCAAATTTGGTCAACCTTCAAACTCGGAACCGTTGGAAGAGATTTTAGGTAGGGTCACGTATAATCTTATAATCGATCAAGCTATTAATTCTTATATACCATATTCTTCGTTCTTATTCTTACTAACGAACATAATTTATTTTAGACCGTACGATTTACAAAAGGAAGTGGACAAATATATTATCCGCAAAAATTGGGATCTCTATGTGAGCCTGCGGGACAAGTGAAATAACGGTGCTCATTCCGAAAATTATTGTACGAAGTGCACAAATGAGCCAAAATACGTTGATTTGAATGTTTTTCTTGAATAGCATAAGGGAATAATGGAAAATTTGGGACAAAAACAGTATGTTAGGGACATAGGTGCACTTGAATCCGCTCTTCATAGACCACAGTGGATGTTTGATTATTCAGAAGTTCAATCGATTCCTTCACCTTTTAGAATGGCCGCCGGCCTTGGATATGATTATCAGTGTTGATACTGTTCTTAATGGAGTACCAATTATAATAAACAGAGCTGTTTGATCCGTATACTAATACTGGCGAAAGCAAAACAGATTTCCTTAAATATGATATTTAATGATCCCAATATTAATATTATATTAACCAATTTATCAATGGAAATTATAATTATGGCACAGTTTCCATATTTATAAACAAATTAGATTTTAATGTCTATATGGGTCATGCTGCAACAAAACCAGACAAGTGAACATTCTGTTATGTGACATAAATGAGAGCTGAAAGTTAACTAATTTGGCTAATAACATTTTGTAGCAAACTTCTATTGCTATTACTATCTAAAATTATACATAATTGACATAGTAATAGGATAATTCTGTATAAAATATTAATATAAAATTAATTTACATTAAATCCACCATGGAACAAAAAATTACAGCGCTATTAGAAGCATGCTAAAAAAACTAAGGTAAAAAAATTGCTCCCTACGTTTTTAAAATGAATGATACCTAAACACCTCAGAAATATTAAATAAAGAAAAAATTACTTATCAAGAAGAACGAAAAATAATAAACAATAAACAAACATTACCACCAGCTTATGATGAATTAAGAAAGAAATGAAAAATCGAAGATATGTAAAGAAAAACAGTTTACAAAAGTTTTCCACCAAGATCAAGTGCCCTATCACTGAAAATCATGCCCCCGTAATAGTCAGCACAATATACAGTATATGTTAAAATTACGTGTCAGAATGTGGGCAATCTTTATTTAAACAGACATTTTAGTTGAGGAGTATCAGGTACGTCTCTGATAAATGTACATCGCTCAGCTGGTTTGGAGGATCTTGGTCGACACTTGTATTCTCCTGCTAATTTGTTAACACGTTCCTAGAAGACAAAGTCGTGAGCAAAATATTTCGAGTAAGGGATAGCATGTTGTATATATTTATATTATATACAATTGCTCTGATGCAATAAAGTTATTTCAAGCCACTCATCAGTTGTAAAGGTATTATATTGGCAGGGCCAGCCAAGAACTATGATTGACCCTAAAGCCCTATTGTAATATGAAAAAAAAAGTTTGTTAATATTATGTAATAAAAGCTCAGAACACTTTCTTATACTTACAGTAAATCAAAAGTATTATGCCATGTTAGTTTCTTAATACTATATTTTAGATCATGAAGAAGTTCACTTTGGTATTGTCTAAATTTCTTTGTGACATTGATATCATTAACTTCCCACTAAAATGCAAAAATTATAGTTTACAATAAGGTAAAATATACTATATAATAACAGAAAAAACATTCTATTTACTGCATACTGGATCTTTGCATTCTATTTCCAATTGGTTTTCAAGTTCATCAAGGAAATAGCTTATCCAGAAATCTATGACTTTTTTCTCTGAGGTAAAGTCATTGTCACTTCTGCTGTCATCAAGCCTGTCACTGACACATGCACAAAGACATAAAGAACTTTAATAGACATGTGCTGATGATCACCATTAGTAATAAAAAAAACAGTGATAATTACCTTGGAAAGTATTGAGATGTCTCAGAAGGTGAACTTAAACTATCTTTCAAACTATGCTGTAATGGCGTAACATAGCCATCATCACAATATATCTTCTTTATCATTCTTTCCTCATTATAGTCTATGTCTTTTCTTTTTCGCAAATAAGCATTTTCATTTGACTTGTCCTGAGTGATATTGAAAAATTACTAAGTAATTGAGCATTGACAGTACATGAAACTTACTTGTCTACTGTTACGAGGTTGGTATAGATTTTGGAAATCTTCATGTTGAATATTTGTGACATATTTCTGGCTCTTATTTGTTGCTTCCAAAATATGTAACATTCCACTTGCCTTGTAAAAGGTCATAATTATTAGCTTTGTTCAACCTGAAAACTATAGCACCCACTACCCACCCTTGCCGTAGCGATTGAATCTTCGTAACGCTTTTTTTCGATTCTTGTCCAAAACACATCGACAGCTTTGGAGGATTTTTGTTGGCAAAAACGCATTAGCATAGAATCAAATAACAGTCTTTCGCAACTAGTATATAACTCATGTAATCAAACAAAAGATGATGGACCACAACACGGGGTTAGCTGACAACCAGTTGGCGTTATGGTAGTAACTACAGTCTATTCAAGAACGCCCGAGGTAATATTAATATTCACTCTCACCAGCCAGGGCGCGGTAACTGGCTACTCGGGGGGTTGTCAATATGTCACGGCCAACGTGTCCGTAATGCTCGGAGGACCGGAACATACTCTAGCTTTTGAACCCACCATCACATAATAGTAATAATATACTAAACCTCAAAACTAGCAAGACATCCTTGAGCACGAACGTGGTCTTTGGATAACGCGTTTAAAGCTCTCGCGTATAGTTTATATTCCCTTCTTTTATCGTACGTAAAACTATCGGTTCCTTCTCTATATCGAAGGAATGCAATCAACGACCAATTCGAGTCAACCTCGAAGAACTCTTCGAGTACGCGTCTTTCTTCCACTACAGTCCACATGTACATGTATTGTTTGGAATCAGACAAAAAATTTCCTCTTGAACTTCCTATTAAAATTTTTACGCGCATGAATTGCTGATTTATCCCTAAATTAGGTACTTACCGATCTATCGAAAAACGAAACTTTTGCCATTACATTCGATATCCACAAGACGATTGAATATTCTGCCATCATTGTAGGCTAAAGCGAAGCAGTTTTTTGTTGCAATTACATTGGTTGACATACAAATGCTTTATCTCACGATTGGGGAAATTCATCTTGGAGCGACGATACACAAATGTAAGACAAGTACCGAAGGATGACACGGACAGCAAATATTGCCACAAGCCCACAGTAAGTCGCACGGACAGCAGAATAATAGTAATAATAAATTAGAATTAGAAATAATAGCGATGCTAAAAATAGATCAAATGGTAGTTGAGAAAGTATATAAGCAGCATAAAATTTACTTAGCATCAGGTTTAATCTCTAATTTCTTACATCGAAGACGTTCGATTTCTTATCAATAAACGAGTACTCATTTACTCTGACATATTAATTCTTTCCCTGAATAATCCATTAGATTATCTAGGATTAGTGTGTGCGATCCGTATACGAATACGTCAGCACTCATTAAAGGCTCACTAACTGTTTGTTACGTTTTAGCTATCGCTGAGGTGAGCCACACTGCTACGACGGCGCAGCCAGATCTCAAACCGAGACAGTAGTTACCCGCTCTCCCGTGACTATTGCCTCGACATAAGGAAGAAATTAGTTCTCACTTGGAAGCCTTAGAAGTTTCAAAGGATTTGGCATAGTAAGCAAAGGCAAGAATTGTTAGATAAAATTCAAAGACTTGAAATTAAGGTTGAATTTTTAAGAAAACAGCAAACTCAACATATTGCTCAAATTGAAGTTAAAGAAAATAAGAGATGATCTTGATTAATATCAAGTAATCTAAAGATTGGTAAATTTACCAAGTATTTCTTCATTATCCAGATATTAATATTGCTGGAGAGTTTGGATTTTAAAAATGTATGGAGCAATTTCTCTCCTTGGGGTTTTTTTTAGAATGCTTCTAATAGTGCTGTAATTCTTGGGTTCCATAGTGAATTTGATATAAATTAGTTTCACATTTATTATTATATTTTTACACAGAGATAGCTCTATATTAAGCATATTGTAATTTTGGGTAAAGTTTATCTCAAATATGTTGAATTTGTTAGTCTAAGTCACAATACCCTGTCTGCAATTTAATTGTATAAGTTACAGCTGTGATAATCAGTTAATTTTCAGCCACATCAGATGTCACATTAACATAGTCAAATGTTCACTTTGGTTTTGTTGCAGCATGCCCCATATCAAGTCTATCTACGTCTTATGCTCAGTCACTGTTATTCCCAGTAATATCAACGTCCCGTGCATTTGTTCTCTTGTTAAGTTTTGGCAAGCTTTTTACTCTCTTTACTCCATTACCCGATTCTCCTCTATTCACGCTCCTTTGTCTCGTCACTGACAACCGTCGTTTAGAAAAACTATTATTCCGCATGAGATTAGGTAACGTTAGCGAACGTTTAATCTTGTGACTATCATCTGTGTTCATATGAACAACTAACGTAGGGTTGTACGTCCGTCCGCTCATGCTATTTCGACTAATCGTTTTTACGGTATCTCTTCGTATCAAAATAGCTTGCGAAATATTGGCAGAGACTGGATCTGGCGACTCGGAGCCTTCTCCGTGTATAAATTCGTCCGCATCAAGCTCTGTTCCTTCTGGATTAGATTCTACTTCTCCGGCATCAATAATCACGTCATCAACTCCTCCCTTTCTATCTTCTTGCCCGCTACTACTATCCTTCGGGCCTTCATCCTTGATCTTATCAACAAGATCGAAACCAACATTAGCACCACCATTATCGACATGATCATCAACATTAATAGTAGTCCATTCTTCCTTTGATTTTCCCTCGTGCTTATTCCCAATATCAGCTTTACTGCCAAACGACAACAACATTGACGTATGTGTTGGCACCGGTTCAACTATCGTTGCTCTCGCCAGACTCACTGGACGTACAAATACCGCCGATTGTATAGTGTATGGTTCTGGCAATACGGGTTCCGTTGATGCTGTCGACACTACTGACGTTCGGAATGAAGATCTTGATGGTTTACCAAGGACGACTAGCCGAAGAAAGAGAACGGAAGTTAGGATCATTCCGGGATCCGAGTTGAAGAATTTGAAAGTTGTGTTAGGCAAAGCAAGAATCATAATAAGGGTAATGGTATAAATGAGGAATATGAGAGCCAAGTGAAAGACACCCTGGAATTTCAAAGAGTATTTATCAGTCGTAGGGGTAAAAAACAAATACCCAATTAACAATGTCAATTTCTTTTGGTGCAAATGCAAATATAATTATACTCACATCCTCCAAAGCAATCTTGGAAATTGGTCTTTTCTGAGAGTCGTTATTATTCGTAGTTTTCTTCCAATTATTGTTCCAAACTTTTATCACGACTGCAACAAATACACTGCCACAGAACGCACTCATAGCAGCAAATCCATAGACGACCGAACTTTCGACATTTGTATAGCTACAATTGCCACCTTTGTCGACAGTAGATTCTCCGTACCATGGTATATTCACAAAGTGTAATGTAAAAGTGGCACCACCCACAAGAAATAGTATACAAAAGAGGTGGTGACTGCGTGGATAGAAGTAGTAGAAACGAGAAAGCAAAATGAATATCTGAATAAATATTCCCATTGCGTAGAACGCGTTCAGAGTGTTGGAGAAGAGTGTACAGCTGATTGATGAAAAAGACCATGGGTAACGGACGAGAATAACCGATGTGACAAAGAGTAAAGTGTTCATTCTTATGAAGAGAAGAGATAAATGAAATGATTAGTCTTACATAGATTTGTTATATGGATGTTTATTTTTGTGTTAATTGACTTACTTTAATAACAAATAAAATATCATTTCGAACGTGCGCCATTTCTTCTTCTTATACCAGTTTTGATAATCGGATCTCAGGTATACTAATGTGTCGTAAACATACACGGCAATTGCGCATGACACATATATCTGTAATGCGAATATCTGTTGTGACTGGCTTCTGGGCGGCGAAACTTGTGGAGGTGTTATTATTGTCATGTCTTTATTTGTTATGCAAGAAAGGAAGGGAGATAGAAGGAATAGAGAGTGAGTGAGAAAAAGGAATGAGAGGAAAATGGAATGAGGAAGAGGAGAAGAGGAGGATAAGGAGGAGAGGAGAAGACGAGTCTTAGTCAATAAGACGTCTAATAAGTGTGTTTCTATTCCTCGGGGATTCTCTCTAAGCTGAAGGGCTAAATTGCAAGAAATGAATAGGGTCGGTTAAAAAAAAAGAGCCAAGAGGGAACCCGCCCTTTTATTTTATAAGATAGTCCAAGGCTCCAGCTTTGGTGAGGAAACAGTCGACCGATTTGTGTCTGTTTGTTGGACAAGATGAACAGTTTTATGTCCAAGCGGTTTATGGTAGCGCTAATACTGTTTGGGTTAAGTTATATTAACAAATCAAAATAAATCAGAATCACTTGGCTGCATTAAATTTCCAAATCGTACCTGTCGAATAAATGTGGTCATACGGATTATAATTACATGATTAGCATTGTGCGTTTATTTTATTATGAGCAGATGCGTGTAATCTATACAGTTGCTATAGAAGGAATGTAGTATCTAAACATTAGGGTAAGATGCTATGGTATAATATAATTTAATATATATAATTTTATTCAAGGCCGACAGGCACGCTCTCTCCAGGCCGTCGACCCATATTCTTATTTTTCCCAATAAATATGGAAGCCAAAAAGGCTAAACCACCCATCGGTATTATACATGTAAACGCCAATTGTAATGCTTGCACGTAAGCATTAATAACTTGACCCTCAACATCTGGAGGAAGCTGTGTGATGATATTCGGATTCTTCTTAAGGACGTCAAAAGAGAGGTCTATATTTAATAACCCAATCTGATGACGGAGTTCGTTATTGAAAACAGTGCCTATTATGGCAACTCCGAAAACAAATCCAACTGGATAAAGCAAAGAAGAAGAAAGAATAATGAGTATATGTTATCACCTGATCACTTCGCGCGACTGATCCACACCGTTTGGGTTACGTATGTTCAATCTCTACCACATTCTGCACACAAACACATATATACCAATACTCACTTGTTCTAAAGAACAGCAGAACCGAAGAAATAACAGCAATATCCGAATATACGACAGTTGCCTGACCAATCAGTAGCGTCGTCTGCATAATCAACCCTACTCCAATTCCCATAATGAACAAGTACCCAATTTGCTTTCCACGGTTAGTGTCAACGTCGAACGTGGTTGTTAATCCTGCACCGACGATAATTAACACTGAGCCGACGATACAGAATATTTGTTTCCTTATCGTTGGTACCCTCGACATGGCTTGTCCGGATGCAATTGATGCGAACACAACACCAAGAATGTATGGTATCAACTCCAATCCCGCAATAGTTGCCGAGTCATGATGGACAACTTGGAAATACAATGGTATGTAATAAACAGCGCCCAAGAATGCCATTCCCTGGAAAAAGTTGACCAGTAGACATGCTGCCAAAGTCCGACTCTTGAATAGTCGGAGTGGAACGATGGGTTCGACAGCTATAAATCCCTCGACACATACTAGGGCTGCATATAGCACTGCCCCAACAATAAAGAGCGATATAATTATCGGATCGTCCCATTGATATTGATCTCCGCCCCAATTCAACGGTAATAACAAGCAAACCGAGGCGGCACCCATTAACAAGGTACCCCACCAGTCGACACGGCCGAGTTTCTTCCAAAACGAGCCCTGCGGCCGGGGAAGTCGTAACAAAAAGATTACGATGGCAAGCGTAATGACACCAAATGGCAAGTTAATTAAGAAAGACCATCTGCGAATTAAGAAATCGTTAGAGTTTATTAAGACGAAAACAGAAGCATCAGAGACTTTTCGCAATTCATACCTCCAAGTTACATGATCGGTAAAAGCCCCACCCAATAGAGGACCGATAACCGACGCAATACCAAACACTGCACCGATAAGACCCTGGTATTTTCCTCTCTCTTCGAGACTAACAATATCGGCAATTATAATTATTACCAATCCTATTATACCGCCACCTCCAATTCCCGCTATTGCTCGGAATATTATCAGTAGTGTCTAAGAGAATGTGAGAATGAGTGAGAAAGAAAAGCATTTTGAGTTTGAGTGGGGAGAAGAGAACGAGATTTCTTTTTATAAAATTTTCCTACTTACCATATTTGGTGCTAATCCACATAACAAACTGCCCAATTCGAATACCAAAATGGCAAATAAAAATGTTGCTTTTCTTCCAAATATGTCAGAAATCTTTCCGTATGTTGGTTGAAATGCGGTAGCCGTTAACAAATACGAGGTTGCAACCCAGGCAATTTGGTTCAAAGCCTTAAAGTCAGCACCTATCCTATATAATGATGTTCCGACAATGGTCTGATCTAATGCAGCTAGAAAAATGGCAAAGCCAAGACTAGAAAGACAGACATGTAATGATTAGAAGACGCTTTTAATGACTAGTGTCCGCCAGCTTTAATAAATTAGAATAAATACCCGATCATAACCCAGACTAGTCGCCAACGCGACAGTCGCACTATAGTTTCACCATTTGCATGTATTGCCTCTTGCTTTTCAGGTTGTGATTCAACGTCCGTTGTTGATTCCTGGCTATTACTCACTGTCACTGTCGTGCTCGACTCACTGTCGGCAAATGTCATTTTTGATTTGTTAATTAAAGTTTATCTTTTTTTGTGGTGTTGGTCTTTTGCTTTATTAATGGATGATGATATTATGAACAATGATTGTTATCTTCAGCGTCTCTTTATTATTTATTTCGTTATTATTATCTCGAATACTATCTGTTTCAGCAGATAGCCTGTCAATTCGATCGATCGTAGCAGTCATATTTATACATTTTCCCCATCACAGTTTTGCGAGATTGTTCGATAATAACGGATTATTACTAAACTGGAAACTTTAAACCATGCGATTGGCTTTAGCGGATAAACTCTGCTTACCGATAGGACAATTAGATGCGGCTAAATGAATTTAACCGGTGTTATTCGGTCTCGGCACGGAAATGGAAATTATATATATGCTTGTGTTCAATTACATTTGTCGTATATATTAAATCCAGTATTATGAAATCATGGGGGGTTTTAAATAGTGGACCGCAGTTGGCGCAAAATTCCGAAAGATGACGACATTTTCCCTGAACTAAGGGCAGAAAGTTTATGCGATGTTTTTTAATCTTGCTGCCATCTCATCATTAATCATCAACTAGGAAGAAACCGCCACTTTTCCAAGGACTTTTTGCGCAGTTGCATTCGAGTGCTTTTGATGCCAGCACATTCTGAAAACATATGAACATGTGGGAAAGATCGGCTGTTTGTCTACTGATACCTAAAACGTTTTTCATTTTAACAGATCGCTTCAATAAGGGGAAATTGACTTTACCAAAAAGATGAACGGAATGCAAAGACGGATCGACCGTAACAATGTGCGATTATAGTTCTAAATCTGTTATTACAATAGTTTATATGATTAACAGAAGTCATTAACAAATAGTATGCTTTGTTGTCTCTTGTCGTCTGCACAAAATGTTGAAGTGTTCATCTTGTCACGTTAAGAAAAACAGCAACGAGTTTTTATCGAGGGCAAGAATGTCAAAGGTGGTTAACTCTAAAAAAGTTCAAAAAATAAGAATGCTTTGAAATTGACGAATTCTTAAACCCAAAAGACGTCGTTACAAAATTTCAAATTAATGTTGAAAGAGAAGATAGTTGTAAGTGGAAGTAATATATTTCAAATATTGTGTTTATTAAAGTTTTTGGAAAGAAAACGGTTTATTATCTTTGCTCGACCTGGTAAACGGTTACACATGCATCATAATAACACATACTAATACACGATAAGTTGGGCATCTTTTTTCGTTCTGTGAGAGGGTTTTTTGTTTTAACAGTATATAAAAATTAGCTGTACAAAAAAATAGAGAATCGATTATATAAAATACATATGGGGCATGCTGCAACAACCAGACAAAGTGAACATTTGATTATGTGATGTAAATGAGAGGCTGATTATGATGTGGCTGTAAAATTGAGTGTGACTGATGACGTTTTGAAAAGTAATAACAGTGCTCATTCATAACTTATGGACTTGTTAATTTTAATACTCACTTTATCATACCAGAATGTGATGAATATAAACTATAACAAGATTAATATAGGGTATCTATATATATAAAAATATTAATATGAAACTAATTTACATTAAATCCACCATGGAACCCAAAAATTACAGCACCATTCGAAGCATTCTAAAAAAAGCTCAAGGAGAGAAAATTGCTCCATACCGATACATTTTTAAAATTAATAATACCCAAACTCTCCAGAAGTATCTAGATCAAGAAAAAATTACTTATGAAATTTATCAAGAGGAGCGGAAAATCATACTACTAAACGAGTATTAACACCAACACATGATGAACCAAGAAAGAAAAGAAGACTAGCAGAATAAACAATCAAGTCATTATTAGAACACCTTTTTTGTGTTTCCAGCAACTTTATCTATCACTCATCATCTTCACTATCCAATTCATCACCTTCTTCTTCGGCCGGTTGATTTCATCAAGCAATTATTTTTTTATCGTTTAATAATTAATGACGTCATCAAAAATGGCTGACGATCAATGGATGGAAAGAAATCGCGTCTTTTTGTCACGGCTCGATGGATTCACCCACACCCATGGAAAAGTTTATTGGGCATGGCTGTACTTATACTTTTTCTAACTTATATTGTGCCGAGCATTGCATTTCTATTTCCGGTATTTCATATCACAGGTCAAAAGCTAAACGGCGTATCCTTCTAAACGACAGTGCTTTCATCCTATGTGAAGTCATGCCCATACATTTCTTATTTACAATTTCTCAAAGCAAACCGGGATGCACTTCTTTTGTACCCACCATTTGCGGACGATTGGGCAGCGCTGAATAACGCCTGGTCTCAGCGGTTTTCAATTGCTGTGGAACACCTTGGGGATGAAGTGGTCACAAGGGTTTGGTTTTATCTTTAATTTTGGCAGAAGGGCAGCTCTTGACGAGTAAATCTCGAATCCAGAGTATAGATCATGGCATCTCGCCCGAGTGGTGGGGTGTGACAGCTCTTGACGAGTAAATCTCGAATCCAGAGTATGGATGATGCTATCCAGTCCCCCCATGCGCGACCTGCTTTGTTCTCTGGTTTCTTAATGTTAATAGTGTGTTGGAATAACTTATATTTGTTGCGTGTTGCTTTTGTAAAAAAGGTAAAATCTGAAATGAAAGATGTTGGCTATTTGCGATTCTACTGGACAGCAATTATTACAGATCGAAGAAAGGTTAATGTTCGAAGTTTCGTTTTGTTTTATTACCTTTAATGAGTCCTAATATTGTCACAATAGATTTTTGTAAAGAATAGCTATGATATCCAAAGCTTAGATTTGTTGCAGGTGGCTGGAGAGTCTTCTACTACTGAGCTAAAGAGTCTTTACTCAAGTAAACGCAAAATAGAGACTGTATATGACAAATCTGATGAGGTGAACAAGTCTGAGGTGAGAGCATGAGCAGCATGAGCAGTGTTATGTTGGTTGCAGCTCTTGGTAACTTTATATTTGGGTAAAGCAGTATGCTACCGTTATCAAGGAAATCATTCGACTCCAGGAAAATGATAATGCAGCAGCTCACACAAAGTAATCCGTTCTCATGTGTGACCAATTATTTCAATCCGTTGTCTGTCTAATTGTTATTATTTTAGTCCCCTCTGGTGGGGTGTCCTTGACCTCCAAGCTGAGAAAAAGTCACCATGTGTGGATGTCCCTAGAGCTCAAGAATTTCTCTCACAAGAGAAAGTAGTAGTATGTTTATGTACGTTTTGGGACAGACGATAAAAATTTGATTGCGTCGTCAAAAATTCGACCGTCGTCAGTATATCATTCTGCTTTTCGATCGTCACTCGAAGCCTTTCTCTTATACCGATTTTTATACCATTTTGCTTAATTTTTTTCGATCGTCACTCGAATGACGTGCGATTTATTTTTTCGTCGTCATTTTCATATTACTATTCCGCTTGCTATAAAAAAAGCCCCCGAAGGTGAAGGACTTTAGTCCTGAACCTGAGCGTGGCGTTCGCCTGCAAGCTTAAATGTAATATCATTATCTTTACTATCCCAATTCTCTTCCAAATCTTATTTAGTCTTCAGTTTCAGTGAAACATGAGCTCACAAGAGCGAAAGTTTCACGCTTGCGGAGCGAAGCGGAGCATAGTTAACTTATTTAATTACTAAACCGTTTTCAGTCCCGGAGGAGCGTAGCGACTCCGAATGTGAAGCGTAGCGGAGCATAGTTAACTCATTTGATTACTAAAACTTGTTTTATCTTTATCCCCAATAACGAAGAAAATTACTATTCTATATCACGTTCAATTTCTCATTAACTTTCAAACAACTCTAACCAAAAAATTAGACCGGAATATATATCCCAAAATACAAAAATTTTTAATATTCTATAATCGTATATTACAAGGTTTTATTATTACTATCGATAGCAAAAATCGTAAAAAAGTTGGGACAAAACTCTAACCAAAAAGTTAGACCGACACTTTACCCCAAAATTACTATTCTACAACACTAAACACGTCCAATTTCTTATTAACTTTCAACTAACTCTAACCAAAACTCGTAAAAAGTTAGGACAAGATTCGGAGAATCGACTATGACACACTCTAACCAAAAAGATAGGACAATACTCTATTGCTTTCAAGCCTAACTAATTATATATATTACCGATTTTTCTTAAGATGTTTCTGAAAATGTCTAGAAACATAAAACCCTCTAATATGTTTGGGACAACGACCAGAAATAGAACGAGTAGGTTTACCACATTCAGAGCAGGGATAACGAGGTAAAGCTTTATAATGAAAACAGCACCCCTCAGGGCGGGTACTATGACGCATGCAAATTTCACCAGAATAATTAACAAAATAACAAGTATACATAGTAGGCATTTTCATATAAGGTAAAAATTCAATTTAAACAAACGATTTTCTATAAGTGTATAATAAAACCGATATATAATGGAATAATTTTTGAATAAAAAATTTTCTATAACTATATTATAAAACCAATATGACTCGTAAACAAAATCGAACATGTGAAAGCTGTGGGTATATATATTCAACGCCACAAAAACTTCGTCAACATTATAATAGTAATAAAAACCCATGTCATCCCCGAGATTTACCAAATCAAAATCCAACTCCACCCCCTAATCCGGAAATAGAATATTTCGATGCATTGGGATTATTTGATCCTCCAGAAATTGCTGAGACTATTCCATCGCCAGAAGCTGAAAGAGAATATCTCGAAGCATTAGGAATATTAGAACCAATTCCGCAATTTCATCAAACTAATATTATTAGCTCTGGATGTGAATTATTAGATG